ATAAACTGGCAAAGACGTTTTGCTTAACACAATTAAAAATTATTTTTTACATGAAAAGTGATCATTTGAAATGTACGTGACTGAAATGTACGTTACCATGAAATTCGAATTAAGTGAATCTCGCACGAATTTTCATGTATTCTCATACTTTCACACACTCGAATGTGTACACAAAGGAAAGTTTCAAAGGTTGGAGGTCGGCTAAATCCCAAAATTAATGAAAAGAAACGTTTCTGCTGAGGAAAAAAATATTGTAAGGTCAATTATTTGTAATATAATTTTGATACCTGGTATATATTTCTGAATACGAAACCTGTATGATGCATTTCTTTTGATGTGCAAGTTCAAATAGTATCAATGTATTGCGTGTCTAACGTACGCTTGTGGAAGAGAATTGATTTTTATATTTGAAATGTACGTTACGTATGGTAACGTACATTTTGCGTATTTCTAACTGACATTTTTTTTATTTAGTCAATGAATTGCGTTTACACGAGCGAAACAAAATTATCGTTACAATCCATTTGACAACTGACCACATAAATCCATCTAAATGCACCCCCAATCCTCGTAAATGTGGTAATCTGTTACCACATGCTAGAAATTTATTTTTATTTCTAAGTGTCTTAAATTCATCAATGGCAACCTTTTTGCAGTTTGTTTACTTTTAATATGCGACTTTAAGTCAACATTCATTTAATTGTTGTTGATAATTTAAAACAAGGTATGCATAGGCTTATAACTGGTTAAAAAAAACAAAACAAAACAAAAAAAGAAAAAGAAACAAAACAAATAAACCCAGAACACAAGACGATCACGTACATTTCAAATACTGAAAGGCACACAATACTCAGTTTTGTTTAAATCATTGCATTTTGGGTTATATTTTTCCAGATCTGCTGAAAAGCACGTATGTTTGTGTTTTGACAAACGATGTTGCAGCATACTAAATGAAATTGTTAACAAGACTGTCGATGGATATATTCGGAATAGATTTATGTTAAGTTTCAATGGCCAAACACGAGCATTTGTTAGATCATAGCAAAATATGTCTGACTCTTATTTTTTCGGTCTGTACCCTTGCACACAGGTAGAAGTAACTAGGCTACGACCGGTGTCAATTTCAGCGAAACAGCACAAAAGAATGGTAATGAACTGAGGTGGAGGGGACTCCCCAATAATATGTGAAATGAACGTTACCGAAGTGACGTGACATTCATGTAGTTGATGACAAATAACCTCGTTTGTTACATTATGATTTCTTATATTACTGCGTTAAAACGCTTCATTGAAATGATTTTTATGTCAATAATTGCTTTTTTTCAATATTTTCTTATTACTAGTTTAGATATTATTACAAGCTTGAAATGTACGTTACCTACTCATATTCTGAGGCAATCGTGTCTTTATAGTGGTGATTGTGGCATATAACACAATGTGATTACATAGAGAATCTTTTTTGGAATAAACTGAAACAAAACGATGAATTTTTAGATGAATTTTAAGCTTTTTATTAAACAGATATATATCTTGAAATGTACGTTATATTTACGTAGTTTTCTAAATCGGCATGGATATATGTTAACAAGCTAATTCAGAGAATTCGTGTCCCCCGCTTAGGAAAAAAGTCGGCTCCCCCTGACTGAATTTGTAGAATTATTAAATGTATACATGTATACTGAAGGAAATAAAATACATGTATGTCAATATGCATATAAAGATTTGATTGCTTATTCTTTATTATGTGCATAGAAGATTTTTTTATATGGAATATTTATCACACTGTAATGATGATTTTATAACCTCATAAATTTTTCATTTCACATGCTGAATACTATCATTTAGTAAAAAAAAAGTATTTAAAAAATAGAGAAGATTCGACCATGATTCGATCCCAGGACCTCTCACATATGAACCGAGAGACATAACCACTAGACCACGGAGCCGCTTTACAGAGAGAAGTATATGCAGAACTGAAGTCACATACATGTATATATTCATGTTTTCATGTTCGGTATTCTCAAAATTTTACACAATCCATGGTGTTTGATTTATTTAGCCTTTATTAAACAGTTCTAATAGATGTAATAAGAACATAAAGTCCGCCGAGAACCTGTTTTATACGCAATAACTCTCCTCATGCCCCTGCGCTAAAAATAGCGACATGTAATGCTATAAATACTAATAAAACACACGGGGCGGGGCACTTTGAGAGGGGCGAGAGACCTCCCAGGGAGTTTTGGTATAAAATTACATTGCATAAGCTCAAAATCTTCTTGAAATATCGCCCGGAAATGATAGTGTTACACACAGACAGAATGTATAAATTTACGACCTTGAACTTTGACCTTTTGACCTCAAAATCAATAGGGGTCTTCTTTAGGCCACAGGGAGTTGTTATGTAAAATTTCATTGCAATAGCTAAAATGGTTCTAGAGATATCGTGTGGAAACGAAAGTGTTTTAACAGACAGAATTTGCTTATTTATGACCTTGACCTTTGACCTTTTGACCTCAAAATCAATAGGGGTCTCTTTAGTCCATAGGAAGTTGCTATGCCAAATTTCATTGCGAAAGCTCAAAGGGTTCTCGAGATATCGTGTGGAAACGAAAGCGTTACAGACAGACAGAAAGACGGACGGACGGACGGACGGACGGACAAACCCAAATTAATATCCCCCACTTTTCAAGCGGGGGACAAAAAAGACAGTAACTTCAAAATAGAATTTTACTACATATACATGTTGAGTTCCAGTATCTATCAGAAAATGACAAGATTCCAAACTGATCGCTCTAAACAAAACAGAGAGAAGAATTTAAAGCATATTTCTAAAAAATGTTTTTATACATGTGGATCAAAATTTTTGAAAGGAAAAATCAATCGCACGTTCGTATGCCAAGAAAATATGTTGCTGACAGAGTTGGTGGGATGTGCTGGTGTTAAGATGAGATATTCCAATTGTGATTTTAATGACTACATTTTTTTTTACATATCTTTTTTTGGACATTGAAGAAAGAGTAACGTACATTTCAAGCTACATTTCTGAATAAAATCACCCTCTACTTTACCGTCTTGTCATTATTCCATGTATTAAAATTTGATGAAAAAAAATCTGGAAACAAAATCTTCAGATACTTTCTTTCAAAGGTAATTGATAGAAAAATTGTTATCTTGAACTTCATTTTTTAAAAAATCAGAGAGGCATTTGTGCCCTTATATTGAGAATGGGTGTAGTAATTTTGGCCGTATTTGATTAACATGATATGTTAAGTTAAACCTTTGACAGAGACTTCATAGATATTGCTTACATGTGAAAATGAGCCTGTTGACGCACCTGTCGGAGATATCTATGGAATAGTGCATGAAGGAAAAGGTGCTTACTGATTTTGCATAAAGAAAGTGGGCGCACTAGATGGGCAGTCGGCAGGAATCACTGACACGAAACAATTCAGATTTAAATGTCCAAGCACGATGTTGTAATACATATCTTATACAATGAACCTAGAAACTTCACGAGAATGGATTTCTGCCTTATGTTTATTGATTTGTAGATAATTTGTTTTTCAATTAAAAGGTGTCATGAAAGAAAAATTATCTATGCTGCAGACATTCAGTAGAATGTAATAGAAGTCTAATGCAAATGAATTTTTGTGCTCAGTTTTTAAATGCACTGAAAATATTGAATGTAACAGTACGATCGAAGTTTCTAGTTTGTTTGTTTTTTTTTAAATATATTCAATATTTTTTTCATATCAGGTGTAACTTTGTAGTTGCAAGTTCATGTATGTTTATCTCTATTTGGGAACGTTAGCACTATAAATGAACATAATGTGAACGCATTGAAAATAGAACAATTAATGTAAAATAATTTATGAAACATAATTAATAACTAATGCTGCTTCGATATGGCTCGAAACCAGCGACAAACCAATGTAGCTACCGCGGGACACTATACGAAGCCAGTTTTTAAATCATTATTTAAAGCCAAAGCCCTATACAATTGGACTTTGTCAATTTTCTACCAGAAAATAAATGGAAAAAGTTTAGATTTTGGTATTTCTGGGTCGTCTCTCCATTTTTTAAACAACTGGAATAAATTTTACGGTGAAAAATACACCAATAACACATTTAAAATTCATGGAGAGAAGACCCAGAAACAAGGAAATTAATGAAAAACGGCTATAAAAGAGTCGATTTTTGCATCATTTGAATTACTTGGCTATATTCAGGTGAAAAATCAAACATATTTGACAGATCAGGTTTTACATGATCATCTAAAATGTACATTATGTATATGGAATTAATTTTTTAAACTGTTATAAGACATTTAATATTGCAAATCCTTGTGTTCCGTATGAAATGACAGGTGAATTTCCCCAAATACTGAAAACTAATATATTTCATTTTAAACAGATTTTAAGTACATGTAGTTTAAAATAGTAAAGTACAACTCTTGAAAGATATATAATTTGATAACAAGAGCCTGTTTTTGAAATAAAAGTGAGAAAACTGTAAAAAGATATGTGCTGAAATATACCGATTAATCAATCGTTAAAATCTCCAATCGATTGTCTAAAATCGACAGCCTTTCCGACCGATCATTGATTATAAATCGATCATCGTGACAACACTAGGAAATGGTGAGCATTAAGACCTACATAATCTACAATAATCTTTTCTTCCATGGCCATTAATTTTTGCCATCATTTGAAAATGGCTACTGGTGATGTCAAAATTCAACTGAATAAGTGGGAGGTGGGGGAATGACTGTGGGGTGAAGAGATAGGGATTACCAGGTATATGTAAAAGAAGTCTAAAAAGTTCCTCTATTATGGGGTGGACTTAACACTATGGTTAATAAGAAAAAAGTATTATATAAAACAAATGATAATACGTTCCTTGTTTTTGAAATGTATATTTGATGGTCAGTTGATCCATGAAGTCAATTTCATTGCTTTCATGCAGTAATTTCTACATGGTAAATAATCAATACTTTAAACTTGAAAAGGTTTTAATTTATTTATTTTTGCACTGTTGAAAAAAAAGAAAATAATGAACACATTATACCTCAATATTTTGTATATCACAGAAACTTGAGCATTCTCTGGATAAATTATGAACATGTTTTACATAAACCTCCATATAAATTCCAGATTTACAGATTATACAAGAAACTTCATACATTTATGCATGTACCTAAATTGTCTTTAATTTATTGCTTATTAGTCTTTCCAATCAGATCAAAATGGAACAATACATATTATTTCAAAAAATTAAATTCATTGTTTAAAATGTTAAAGCAAACATAACTGCATGGATGAATGGCTTAATTTTATTTATAAATCACCAGGTGTTCTTTTAACACATAAATCATGTTAAGGGAAATAACTCATCAAATATTTCTTTTAACATAAAATATCTTGGATAACAACACTTTTAACAATGATAAACATTATAAAAATCAATTCATGGGTTTCAACTTGCTACAGTATTTCTGAGGACATTTTAGATACCTGCTAAGTTAAAGTACTACACTGTTTACAGATTTTAATCTGACATTAAAATATTTTACTTGAGTGCAACAAAAATTTTAATTCTTTCTGTCCCCAGGAGCAGAGTACAACAGAAAATCACTACATACAATTATAATTAAAAATGCTTATATCACATGGTACAAGTTAAAACAGGTGTGTGTGTGTGTAAAATTAATCCATTTGAAATTGACACCTTTCAAGTTCTATTTCATGCTCTTATTCATGTAACTAGGTGACAACCACTTCCCACAATCTCGGTCTAAATACATTAAATGAGCTAATCATTAAACAGTTACATTATATTAATCATTAAAAAGTTACACAATACAGGCATGCAGAGATCAAAACAATATTATTCTATTACTATTTCCGTCTATGGAAAAAGGTTTACATGCCATACAAAGATCACATTTTATTAAAAAAAAAACAGGGAATATAAATTACATAATGAATCTGAATATGAAAATGCTAGTACCTATCAAAGGCTTAATATTGTAAAATCAAGTTTTCATTATCAAACCAAATAAATATGAAAGGAGAACATATTTATATAATTTTCTAAAATGTGAACTAATTTCATTAAAGAACTATCAAGAAAAGCCTGCATAAACTTTTCTTGGTGTTTCATACTTAAACATCACAGAGAACATATCCCCACCAAGTCTATTTGCAAGCCACCGATTTTTTATCACAGCAATCTTCAAGGCTTCACAAGAAAAACAGGCATCAAAGTTTGTGTGAATTGCTCGCCCCATGCCTTCAATGATAATTAAGTCTGTGTTCTCTTTATTCATCAGGTCTACCAGCTGACAATCAATTAACCTTAAGGAAAAAATCATTCAAGACATAAAATTAATACCATGGTAGTTAAATTTTATATTATCATAGATAAAAAAAATTTTTTTACAAGGAATTGACAAAAACAAAAAAAAAATCTCCTCTGTACAAATACACAAATCTTATAGATAAAACAAGTTATGAATTTAAATATTAATTCCTTTTACTATTGATCCTACCTTAAGTCTAGACATGGTGAACCCTGTCCAGTTTCCATCACCATTAGTTGATTTTCCGAGAGACTTTTATCGATTTGTTCATCAATTTCAGCTACATGTTTGATGAGTACAGAAAGTTCATTGTATAAGACATCATTTAAGGCAGGTCGGCTATTGGCACATAGTATCACCTACAGTAAAACAGTTTACTGTATGTAAGAGAACTTCCATGCAACAAAATAATAAATGAATATCTGAGACCCATTTGCCATAAATAGTAAACTTCAGGTACATGTAACACAACAGAGTTGATTCATTTTTTATCCAGAGATTGAAAAAATTTTTAAGAGAGTTTAACTTTAATTTAATTACTTTAGTTCCTCTAAAGAGTAAGTCTCTAACAAATGGGAGAATCCCAAGAATTATATCGGCTCCACTGTTATCCACAAAAATGGCTGCACATTTGTGGGGCTTTCCCTTTATTCGATCCAGCCAGGCATCAAAATCATCAAATAACCAAGGGCGATCTGAAATAAAGATTCAACACACATGGTTACATGTAAATCCACACAATTGCCTTTGTTAACTGGAACATGTGGTCAATGCTGTATAAGCATCCGAGATCACAGTGTCTGCTGTACTCATTTGAAAAGAAACAAGAAGTAAAAAGTTGACATCCTTTAATTAATGACGTATACCCTTTGCCTTTCATCATTTTGTGGAAAAAATCCAGATGTAAAAAAAAAACTAAATTCAGTGCACCCTGAAGTTTTTCTGTAGCTTCTTTGAATCCAAAGTTCTGATTTTCCATTATCTGAGTGACCTCCCTTGCTCCCCAGTCAAAAACATTGCCCGCTAGGACTCCCTTAGCTAAAGCCAATTGTCTCTCCTCAAAGTCCATCCTGTCAAGCTCCTGCAAATACTGGGCCAAACTTCTCAAACACTGCTCATTTTCCATTTGTTTTAACTGTAAAAATAAATAGTTTTTGTGCACACCATGTAAATATTAACAGAGAGTACAACACTTAACAACCAACAAGGGCCCTACAGAGAGTTAGAAATCTAAGGGGTGCAGTGGATTTGTAAATTACAAGAAATTTTTTCTTGATTATCTACCCTTGTAAGGGAGCTTGGCCCTTTATTTTAACAATTTAAACTCCCTTTTACCCAAGGATGCTTGTACCAACTTAGCTTAAAATTGACCCACTGGGTCTTGAGAAGAAGTTGAAAATGTAATTACCAATGGATGGACAACGGACAACAGGTGATCAGAAAAGCTCACTTGAGCTTTCAGCACAAGTAAGCTAAAAATGCTTCTCTTGGTTAAAAAGAAAATACTGGGACAAACAGATAAAAAGGTTTACAGTTAATTAGTCTAATATACATGTACTAGAAGACATTCTTGGTGGCCGGTATTAAAAACAAGTGTGGCTGAAATATTCTCATATCATTGAAAAACATAGGTAATCAGAAATTACAGAGCTCACCTCAACGAATGTTGTCTTTAAGTAAGGCAAAGTCACACGATTAACCAACAAAAAGTGTAAATCCAAAAATGCAAAATTTATGCAATTTTGATTTGATACTATGGAATAGATCTACATAAAAACTTCAAACTAGTTCATCATCATAAAAACGTAATTAAAATCCAGCATCTGAAGCAATTTTGAGAGTTTTTATCCCTTGATGCATCATTTGTGCAATTTTGGTTTATAAAAGCCTTATAGTTTCTTGGTAATAGACCTGCACCCATAATTTTTACCAGGTCCATTATCTGGAAAATGTATGTCAAAGGTAGAATCACCCTTAGATGTATTTCATACAAGCTTTGTTATTAAAGAGCTCATTACTTGGAAATGAACCCAAAAATTTTTAACCTGTTCACTCAAGCGGAAAATGTAGGGCTTTTAGCATCCAGCAAGTCGGAGATGCATCCTAAGATGTAATATCCATGCAAGTTTAGTCATTAAAGGGCTCATAGTAACTAGGAAATGAAACCTGCCCAAAAAATTTAACCTGTTCACTCCACCGGAAAATGTAGGTAGATTCACCATCCGAATCAAGTCTGGAGACATCCCAAGTGTACCATCCATGCAAGTTTGGTCATTATAGGGCTCATAGTATTTTTGAAAAGAAAACTGCACCAAAATTTCAAAAAGGAAAAACTCCAAAAAAAATTAACCTTAACCCGGGGCGGACCCATATTTTACATAAGCTCCCCCCAATTGTTGAGGTGAGCTAAAATCAGTTGAGACTTGTCCCTGCCCCTTTAAAACAATACAAATCTGTTAAGAGGGCAAATTAAAATTTTAGGTGGAATCAGGTGTCTAGTAGGAGTAAACTCCCCTGTAGACCGGTCACTCCCGGCGTGAGTACTACATATTGATCAGGTAGACGGAAAATTTTAGTCAAATTCAGCAGCTATATGAACTCTACAGATCATGTGCAAAATACTACCGTTTGTCAAACAGTGACAGCCAATAGGGCCAGGTATTCGTAAAAGTAATGCAAACATAAAAAGTTAGTAGTACTGTAGATTTATAAAATTTCCCAAAATATTTTTTCTTTTTTATTTAATTAAATTCAGAAATATAAAACATTGTCAAAAAATTTGTGAATATGGACATAATTTTGGGGAAAAAAATGTCTCAAAAAATCAGATCCCAATAATTAAGTTAACAGTCAAAAAAAATTAACCACAGACAAAGCCATATAGATACATGTAAGAAACAAAACATAAAAAAATATCCAGTAGTGAATGAAACTGGTTTGTGCACAACCAGCATACATTTCTTTAAATTGTCATCGCAGGTGGTAATTTGTCAGCGAAAACGTATTGGTTTCTCACAAAACACTGCAAAAGAAATAAAAAGAAATCAAATAATTTCCTATAGGAGCCTGGAAACAGTTGCACTTTTTCATTTTTTCTTTCTTTTGATTTTTTAAAGAAATAACCGTCTAAAAAACTAAACCTTTTTGAATATTTTAGAATTCATTTAACAAGGACTGACTAATTTCAACACGTCAAAAACGTCTCACTTTGCTATCTCAATGCACATTTTAAAAAATCTTTTTTTTTTTCAGATGTTCAATCATGTCAAAAATGTAGATTTTACATGTATTCTGGGATACTACATTGCCTTTTGTTATCAAATATATATATTGTTGATAGAAAATTGTTCAAAAAAAAAACATATTTAAGTAATTATTTATATATCCGTACCTTGACCTGTTAAACAAGGAGAGGATGTGCATAGGGGTGTCTGTTGCCCAATCCTTATTGGGTTATTCAACAAAATATGTTTAAAGGTTAAACACCTTCATGTGTATTTGATACAGCTATCCTAATTGTTTATTTTAAACTGAGCTAACGCTTAGTTATGAAAAGGAGGTTAAGGTGAAAAGGGGAGGTTAAAAAATGTTCTGTGCAGTTAAATAGCTTATTTCAGGATGTATCAGCATGTGAAGCTTGATTACACTAACTCAATTTTTTTTTTGTAAAACTGAGCTAAACATTAATATAAGAAAAGTGAGGTCAAAGTCAAATGAGAGGTCGAGATCAGTGAATGTTGATGCAGTTGCATAGCGCTTATCGATGTGCATCAACATAGGAAATTTGATAAAAAATATCTTGGAACAGTTTTTTGGGAAAATGATCTTCGCACTAAGCTAAACAGAAACGCCAAAAGGAAGGACGACAAAAAAGGAAGACGGAAACAAAATCAAGCCCCCGCCATATTCATTGCGGGGCATTAAACTGGAATTTGTTAGATTAAACAACTAGAGGTACTGTGAGCAATGAGCTATAAAAGATACCCCCCCCCTCCCATATGAATAAAATGGCAGTGTCCATGTTTACTCTGGAAAATCCAAAATATAT